ACAGGACGTTGGTTCGGCCACTTTTGGAATACTGTGTGCGGTTCTGGTCTCCCTGCTTTAGGAAGGATGTTGTTAAACTTGAAAGGATTCAGAAAAGATATGCAAGGGTGTTGCCAAGGTTGGAGCTATAGGGAGAGGCTGAATAGGCTGGTGCTGTTTTCCCTAGAGTGTCAGAGGCTGAGGGATGACCTTATAGTTTATAAAATCATGAGGAGCACAGATAGCGTGAGTAGACAAGGTCTTTTCCTTGGGGTGGGGGAGTCAAAAACTAGAGGGCATAGGTTTAAGACGAGAGGGGAAAGATCTAAAAGGAACCCTATGAGCAGCGTTTTCACACTGAGGATGGTGCGTATATGGAATGAGCTGCCAGAGGAAGTGGTGGAGGCTGGTACAATTACAACATTTAAAAAGGATGGGTATATGAATAGGAAGGGGTTAAGAGGGATTTGGACCAAATGCTGGCAAATGTGACCGGATTAATTTAGGATATATAATCGGCATGGACAAGTTGGACCGAAAGGTTAGTTTCCGTGCTGTACATCCCTGTGACTTTATGACACTTGTAGACAATATCCAGGCTTGAACTGACATCTTGCTACATTTGAACCTGTACTGCTCCAGTATCTGAATGGTGCTGAATATTGTGCAGTCATCCAAGAACATTACAATGGAGGGAAGTTTATTGATGACTGGATGTAGCAGGACTGCAGAGCTTCGATCTGTTTCATAGGTTGTGGGATCACTTAGCTTTTTTTTACCACTTACTGCTTATGTTCTTTGGCATGCAAATAGATCTGTTTGATAGCTTCACCAGGTTGACACTTCATTTTTCAGGCATGCCTAGTTCTGCTGCTGGCATGCCTCCTGTAATCTCCATTGAACCAGAGTTGATCCCCTGTCTTGTTAATAATGGTTGGGTCAGGGTTATGCAAAGCCATGAGGTTACAGATTGTATTGGAGTGTAGTTGATTGCCCACAGTGCCACATGGATGCCTAGTCTTGAGTTGCTTGAAGATGGACCTACCCATAGGTGGGAACTCAGTACACCACTGGACCCCTGATGGGAGAACCATTGGTAACTGAACAGTACAGATGGGCTAAGACTATACGAATTCCCCATCTAGTTCACTTGTGTCCTATAGGGAAGGAAAGTACCATCCTTACCTGGTCTGGCCTACATGTGACTCCAGACCCACTGTAATGTGGTTGACTCTTAACTGCCCTCTGGGCATTTAGGGGTGGACAATAGTGGATGCATCCCGTGGATAAATTTTAAAAAGTCCTCCTTTAATTTGATTTACATTTGATATCAAATTGATTTGAATTGTCAGTATACTGCTGTGAGCCCAGCATGGGCTGAAACTATACAAATTCCTTTGTATCTGAAAGACGTGAACAAAAACCAGTGAGACGTTGATTCTGTTTGCCTGGCATCCAGACCCCAAGTGTAAGGGAACTCGAGCAGAATGAAGCGTTTTCCTGTAAATCGTAGCAGTATCGCAGTGCAGAACGACCCCTCGGGACCCTTCCCACCTGTCCTTGTTTACTTCTCAAATTCCTGTCATGTTACTGCCGCCCACAGGTTAAGATCGATGAGATCGACGAACAGTGGTCTGGTTCTCTGCACGTTGGGCTGACTACCCTTCAGCCTTTGGATGTCTCCTGTTCCTCCTCAGGGCTTCCATCTTCACTGCTGGAGCTGAGGTCAAAGGTCAGCTGGCTGGTCAGTGGCTCCGAGGTCAGGCGCAATGGAATGCTACAGAAGCAGAACTACGGTTTCTCGATGGAACGGCTGACGGTGAGAGGGGATGATAGAGTTTGATAAAGTCTGGGTTTCGCAGTAAGGCCTGCTATTCTGCAAACATGCATGGATCCTGAACGTAGGGTCTAACCTGACAATGGAATAAGTTTGTTTTGGTGATCTAACATCGCGGTTTCACCTGAGTTGTGTTCTTCCTTTATTAATTTTTGTGTGTCAACAGTGACTCACTGGTCACCCACTCTGTCGCCTCCTTGTTGGAGACCTCAGCACATTCTTCATCTGAGCAGGTCTTTGCAGATGTGAGGAACGAGGGAGTGCAGCATTGTCAGAGGTGCCATTTTGCAGATGGGCCTTTAAAACTAAGGTCCTTCTGGCCCCATCAAGTGGGCAAAAAAATCCCATTATTTCAGAGAAGTGGGTTGTCAGTGGTTCTTTTGGTCAATGTGAAGCCAGCACTGCTTTGGACTGACACTGAGCTATTTGGTTTGGAAGGAATTGGCAAGCAGTGGCACTAGCCATTTGGACTGGCACATCTCACCTTGCACTGTGTGGCATTTGCTGATCTCAGAAGTTCGGGGTTGGAGCTGGCCTGGGCTGGACAGGGCTTCCATTTGGGATCAGGGACCAGGGCATCCCAGTTCTCTTGACTGTTCACCAACTGTTTGTAACGTAAAGCAAACAGATGCACGGGTCACTGCAGTTCATCCAGCTACGTGTCTCTGTCTCTCTCTCTCTCTTACTCGCGAGCTCTCGATCTCTCGCGCTGGCGTGCTCTCTCTTGCTCGCGCGCTCTCGATCTCTCGTGCTCTCAGTCATTGGCTACAGGGATTACCCCATAGTCTCTGTGCAGCTGAACCCACATTGATGCTGATTGCATGGAAACCATCCCAATGTGTGCCATCTTTTGAGCCAAGGCCATTTTCACATTGCACTTTTTCACCCAGGTTGGCAATCGAGTTGGAGTAAAGCGTGCCAGTGATGACACCATGCATATCTTCATTGATGGAGAGGACATGGGTGTGGCAGCAGCAGGCATTGCTAAGGTAAGAGATCTCCAGTCAACTCCATACGGAGCCAAAACCACAGCAGCTAGATCTCAGCATGGGCAAAGTCAGAAATCACACGACACCAGGTTAGAGTCCAATAGGTTTCTTTGAAATCACAAGTGACTTCACCTGACAAAGGAGTAGCAGTCTGAAAGCTTGTGATTTCAAAGAAACCTGTTGGTCTATAACCTGGTGTCAGGTGACTTCTGACTTTGTCCACCCCAGTCCAACAACGGCACCTCCACATCATCAGCATGGGCAAACACTGAGCCATCAATTTCAGCAACATAGGGCAGGCTGTTCGGCCCCTCAAACCTACTCTGCCATTTGGATCTTAGCTGGTCATCAATTTCCCTTAATGTCATAGGATGCCAGAAATCTATCAAACTTGGATTTTGTCTGCACTCCAGCCAGGGGAATCCTCCTTCCTGCATCTCCCCTGTTGGCTCTATATGAAGTTTGTAGTTCAGACGAGATCACCTCACATTTTTCTAAACCCCAGAAAAATAGGGACTGTCTTCTCAATCACTTCTGAAAGGATATTCCCAGCATGCCTGGAATTAGTCTGGTGAATCACCCTATATCCTTTATTGAAAGAAAACCAGATTGCACACAGAATGTGGTCTCACCAAGGTCCTGTGCAAGCAACAAGACACCTTTTACCCTTGTGCTCAAATCCCCTTTTGATCAAGTTCAACACACAACTTGCCTTCCTAATTGCTTGCTGCACCTGCATCTTTTACAGTGACTTATGGACAATTGATGATCTAATATTGGGAAAACTATTTTATGAATGGTGAGAAGCTAAGAACTGTGTAAAGATGTAAGCATCCAAGTGCAGCTATCATGATGCAAAACAATGTTGGGGGTGAATTTACCTTATTCTAACAAATATAGAAAATTCTAAGGCATGGACCCTTCATCTACGAATAACTGAGAAAGTCAAAAGTACTATTCAGAAGATTGGACAGAATTTTTTAAAGAAGCAAAGAATTACTTAAAAGATTAATATGGAGGGAAAAGTTAGATTACAAGAGAAAGTTAGCCAAAAGTGTAAAAGTAAATAGAAAAAGTTTCCTCGGGTAATTAAAAAAGAAAACAGTTAACAAAGTAAGTTTTGGCTATATAGAAAATAAGCCTGGGGTATTAGTAAGGAAGATAAAGAGATAGCAGACAAACAGATAGTTTGCATCAGTCTTCACTAGAGAGGATACAAGTAGAATCCCAGGAGCCAGGAATTGAAGCCATGATGTGGAGGTGCCGATGTTGGATTGGGGAGGAAAAGGTTAGAAGTCACATAACACAAGGTTATAGTCCAATAGGTTCATTTGAAATCACATGCCTTTGTAGCATTGCTCCTTTGTCAGGTGAAATGACTTGGACTATGACCTGGTGCTGTGTGACTTCTGACCTCAGGAATTGAAAGGGAGGGAAGAACTCAAAATTACAATTGCCAAGGAAGTCGTGCTGAGCAAATTGAACTGCAAGGTGACAAGCTCCCAGGTCCTGATGAATTTCATCCTAGTGTGTTAAAAGTAGCTCCATCAGTTTGCTCGGTACCACTCCCCCCAATTGTAATTTCATCAAACTCTTCTCTCCCTTCCATCTCCTGATTTACAGTTACTACAGGAATGTATTTTGTTTCCATGATTTTGCTGCTGTTGTCCTTTTACATTGTATCAGTGTTAGGTTTGGGACATGTTAGCAACCCTGCACTAACATTCATGTTCATAAATTATATCGTGAAACTTCAGTTAGCAAAAGAGTAAGCAACTCCCTCTCACAAGGAATAGTTGAAGAAAGTAGTATTGATACATTGAAGCTGAATAAACATGAGGGATAAAGGAATGGAAGGCTATGCTGATTGAGCGAGTTGAAGAGGGAATGGTAGGAGCTCATGTGACTCAGAAGTACCAGCACGGAGCAAAAGGCCAAATGGCCTGTTGCTGTGCTTGAAAGAAGATGTAATATATTTCATTCCAGTCCCTACACAGCTGGTCCCTGTCTGGTTTGACTGTCGTTTTTGATGAATAATGGATATTTCTTTCCCTCTCTCATCATCCTTGCAGAATGTTTTTGCAGTGGTAGACTTGTACGGTAAAGTTGTGTCGGTGTCCATTGTGAGTTCCAGCGTGCTGGAGGAAGCAGAGAGTACGAAACCACCCTCCATGTCATCGGACAGTGGCAGTGAGGAGGAAGAAGAGCTGAGCCCTGTAAGGAAAGTCTGTGTTGTGTTTCTTTCTCCTCCTTTCCGTGAAAAAACTGGTTCCCACGGGGACAGAGTGGGATAGGAACTGTTTCCCCCGGGACATCTGTGTTTGTTCTCACGTGTGTATGTCTCCTGGACAGTTGCCGATTGTCATTCTGATCATTCAGGCATAGTATTTCAAACTAGCCCTCACCTGCTGTGACCCAGCAACTCTTCAGAAAGACCTCATTTGAGGTAAAGTGTGTCGGCAAGCTTTTTGAGATCTCATCAAGGTTCCCCATAAATCAATGTGCTCTCACCTTTTGGCCCTGGGTTTGAACCTTACAATCAGAAGGCTGGTTGTGACAATGTCGAGTCTGAAACTCTGGATTCCTATAACTATGAACAATGTTTTCAAGAAACAGGGGTTGAGGGGAAGAGGAGAGGGTGGTTGGTGTCCACCTAATGAAAAGTTGTCTGTCTGAATAGTTTAACTGGTGGGTTCATGCCCTTCACGCGTGGGTTTTATGCTGGTGGGCTGCATAACCCCAGAGTCTTGGGCTCAGGTGTTAATCGAATCCCTGTTTCTGTTATCCCAATGCACCTCAGATTTTGGATCTTTTTGGATTTAAGGGATTCTGATTTAGGAACCGTTCACCAATGAAGTAACAGTGCCATTTTGAAAACTTCAATAAATTTCCCACTGCCGAAGTTCATTAACACAAATTAAAGACACAAATGGGCCTGATTGCTTATGTTTCCGTGGCACACCTATGCTCCATAGCCCACAGCAAGAGTACTACTGATCTACATTTACATAGGATCACATTGAAATTTCTAGCACAAGAGCAGGCCATTTGGCCCATCTGTTCCTTGCTGCTGTTTCCGCTCCACATAGGCCTCCTTCCGTCCACTCTTCATATCATATTAGTAGATCCCTTTGTTCCCTTCCCCCTCATGGGTTTGACTGCTCAATTCTTTTATTAATCCATGGGATGTGGACATTGCTAGCTCGGCTGAAATTTATTGTCTAATTATTCCTTGAGAAAGTAGTGGTGAGCTGCTTTCTTGAAACAGTGCAGTCCATGTGGTGTTGAGACTTTCACAGGTCTGTTTTAAAAAAAAAAAAAAAAATCAGCTCCAGAATTTTGACCCAGTGACAGTGAAAGAACGACGATATAGTCAGGATGGTAAGTGTTTTGGAGGGGAACTTATGTGGTAATGGTGTTCCCATGGTTTTTTTTTTTGCTCTAATCGCTCTAATTAGTAGAAGTCATGGTTTAGAAAGTGCTGTGGTACACAGCTATTTACTTCATCTCTCTCTGGAAGCAAGTTCTAAACCTCTCACCCTCTCAGGATAAAGACCTTTCTCCTGAATTCCCTATTTGATTTTGATGTGGAAATGCCGGTGTTGGACTGGGGTTGACAAAGTCAGCAGCTGCACGTCACCAAGTTATGGTCCAACTGGTTTATTTAAAATCACAAGCTTTTGGAGTGCTGCTCCTCCATCAGGTGAAGTGAACCTGACAAAGGAGCAGCGTTCCGAAAGCTTGTGATTATAAATAAACCATTTGATTTCGACAGTCCCGAGTTGTGGACTTCACACTAAGTGGAACAAACGTCTCCATAACCTCCATCAGGTCATTCGCTCAGCCTTCTCTCTCCAAGTGAAAAGAGCATGGTCAGCCTTTTCTGGTAATTATAGCCTCTCATTCACATAAGAACATGAGAAATAGAAATAGGCCCCTCAAGCTGCCCCCATTTTTCAGTATGGTTGTGCTGATTGTCCACTTTTCCAGTTCTGGCATCATCCTTGTGAATCTTTTCTTGTGACAACTGCTAGAATTCTATGACTCAGATCGTCATAAGGAGACCAGGCCTCTGCTCTAATGTCGGTCTCCAGCGCAGGACCAGGGATGTTCTGCTGAGACAGGAGGGTAAAAGAGGAGAAGGCATTGCATTATTAGTTAAGGAATCAGTTACTGCAGTAAGGAAAGATGATATCTTGGAGGTGGCATCAAATGAAACCTTAGGAATAAAAAAGGGGCAGCCATTGCTGGGTGTTTATTACAGACTCCCAGAGGGTCAGCAAGAAATTTGTGCATAATTTGCAGAGGTGTGTAAAAAAAAAAACAAAATTACGCAAGGTGATTTCAACTTCCTCAAAATTGACTGCGTTAGACATAGTGTTTAAGGCCTTGAATGGAGTGGATTTCTTGAAATGTGTACAGAAGAATTTTTTAGGCCAATATGTGGAGGGCCAGCAAGGTACAGAACTGTTCTGGACCTCATTCTGAGGAACGAAGTTGGACAGATGGTTGAGATGGTGGTGGGAGAGCATTTTAGTGACAGCAAACACAACATGGTACAATTATTTAACCTTCTTATGGACAAAGAAATAGTCAAGTTGAAAAAGAAAGTTTTGGACTGGGGAGAGTCGATTTTAGTAAAATATAGAAGGATCTGACCAAGGTAGACTGGCAACAGCTACTAGTGGGGAAGTCTACAGAAGAGCAGTAAGGGTGTTCAAAAAGGAAATGGGGAGATAACAAGCCCAACATGTTCGTTCGAGGGTGATAAGAAGGAGTAACAAGCCCAGAGAATCATGCATGACCAGGGATATTCAGGATATGATGGGAAGGAAAAGAGAGGCTTTTAGCAGGTGCAAAGGGAACAAATCAACGAAGGCATTAGTGGAGTACAGGAAGTGCATGGCGGAATTTAAGAAAATAATTAGGAAAGCAAAGAGGCGACGTGAGAAAGATCTGGCTGGTAACAGTAGGAAAAATCCCGAGATATTCTACAAGTATATCAATAGGAAGAAGATAACCAGGGACTAAAGGGGCATCCATGGGTGGAGCCAGAGGACGTTGGTAGAATGTTGAGCCAATACTTTACATCCATCTTTGTCCCAAAAAATGAGGATAAAGGTAAGGAACCCGGGGTAGGGAGCGACTGCAAGGTGCTTGACCAAATTGATGTAGGGAAAGACAAAAGACTGGAAGGGTTGGCAGGCTTACAAGTGGACATATATCCAGATCCAGAAGAATTGTGTGCCAGCCTACTGTGGGATGCAGGGGAGATGATTGCAGACGCATTGACAAATTTTTAATTCCTCTTTGGCCATGAGGAGGTGCCAGAGAACTGGAGAACAGCAAATGTGATTCCAATATTTTAGAAGAGTTGTAGAGGTAAGCCAGAGAACTACAGATGAGTGAGTCTCATGTCAGTGGTAGGGAAACTACTGGAGAAAATTCTGAAGAAGAGCATCTATCTGCAGCTGAAGAGACAAGGCTTAATCAGGGATAGCTTGGCTTCATCAGAGGGAGGTCATGTCGAGCAAATTTGATTGAAATTTTTGAGGAGGTGACCAGGTGTAGAGATGGGGGTAGTGCAGTTGATTTGATTTATTCTTGTCACGTACACCAAGGTACAGTGAAAAGTATTTTTTTGCATACTAACCAGATAAATCATACCTTACATATATACATCAAGGTAATGGAACGGAATGCAGAATATAATGTTACAGCTACAGAGATGGTGCAGAGAAAGATCAACTCTAATATATGAGGGGTATCGGATAACAGCAAAGAAAAAGCTGTTCTTAAATCCATTGGTACATGTTTTCAAACTTGTGTATCTTCTGACCGATGGAAGAGAGTATAACTGGGATTATGTGGATTTCAGTAAAGCTTTGACAAGGTCTCACACAAGAGACTGGTCAAGAAGACATATGCACATGGGATACGGGGTAATTTGATAAAGTGGATTCAAAATAGGCTCAGTTGGAGGAGACAGAAGGTAGTGACAGAAGACAGCGTTAATGACGGAAAGCCAGAGTCCAGTGGTGTACCGTAGAGATCTGCGCTGGATCCCCTATTATTTGTCATTTACATACATGACATAGATGATAGTGTTGGGGGTTAGATTAGTAAGTTTGCCTATGACACAAAGATTAGTTGTGTGGTTAACAGTTATGTTGAGTGTCTTGCGCTACAAGAAGATATACACAGGATGGTCAAATGGACAGATAAGTAGCAGATGGAATTTAGCCCTGAAAAGTGTGAAGTGATATACTGGAAGGAGTAATTTGACAATAATGTATTCAATGAACAGCATAACACTAGGAAGTTCTGTGGAACAAACAAACCTTGGTGTGTTTGTCCATAGGTCTCTAAAGGCAAAAGGGTATATTAGTAGAGTAGTGAAAAGGGCATATGGGATACTTGCCTTTGTCAATCGAGTAATAGATTACAAAAGCAGGGAAGTCATGTTGGAATTGTACAGAACTTTGGTGAGACCGTAGCTGGAGGACTGTGCAGTTCTGATTGCTGCATTACACAAAGGGCGTGATTGCACTGGAGGGGGTGCAGAGGAGATTCACCAGGATGCTGCCTGGGATGGAAAGGTTTAAGTTAAGGGGAAAGGTTGGATAAGCTTGGGTTGTTTTTGTTGGAGCAAAGGAGACTAAGGGACGATCTGTTTGAGGAATACAGGATTATGAGGGGTATGGACAAAGTGGATAAGGAACAACTGTTCCCTTAGTAGAAGCGTCGGTCACAAGGGGAGACAGGTTCAAGGTCAGAGGCAGGAAGTTTAAGGGGCATGTTATACATAAGAACTAGGAGCAGGAGTAGGCCGTCCGGCCCTTGGAGCCTGCTCCGCCATTCAGTAAGATCATGGCTGATCTTTTCGTGGACTCAGATCCACTTACCCGCGTTCTCACCTTAATTCCTTTATTGTTCAAAAAATTATCTTTAAAAACGTTTACTGAAGTAGTGTCAACTACTTCATTGGGCAAGGAATTCCATAGATTAACAACCCTCTGAATGAAAAAGTTCCTTCTCAATTCAGTCCTAAATCTGCTCCCTCTAATCTTGAGGCTATGCCCTCTTGTCCTAACTTCACCTGCCAGTGGAAACATCCTCTCTACTTCTATCTTATCTATTCCCTTCATAATTTTATATTGTTCTATAAGATCCCCCTTCAATCTTCTGAATTCCAATGAATATAATCCCAATCTACTCAGTCTCTTCTCATAAACCAACCCCCTCAACTCCAGAATCAACCTAGTGAACCTCCTTTGCACCCCCTCCAGTGCCAGTACATCCTTTCCCAAGTAAGGAGACCAAAACTGCACACAGCACTCCAGGTGTGGCCTCACCAGCACCTTGTACAGCTGCAACATAACCTCTCTGCTTTTAATCTCAATCCCTTTAGCAATGAAGGACAAAGTTCCATTTGCCTTCCTAATTACTTGTTGTACCTGCAGACCTACCTTCTGTGATTCATGCACAAGGACACCCAGGTCCCTCTGCATAGCAGCATGCTGCAACTTTTTACCATTCAAGTAATAATCCTTTTTGCTATTACTCCTATCAAAATGTATGACTTCACATTTATTTACATTGTATTCCATCTGCCAGACCTTTGCCCACTCACTCAATGTATCTATGTTCCTCTGCAAAGTTTCACAGTCCTCTGCACACTGCTCTGCCACTCATCTTAGTGTCATCTGCAAACTTTGACACCCTACACGTGGTCCCCAACTCCAAATCATCTATATAAATTGTAAATAATTGCGGTCCCAACACCGATCCCTGATGCACACCACTAGTCACTGACTGCCAGCTAGAATAGCACTCATTTATCCCCACTCTTTGCTTCCTGTTAGTCAACCAATCCTCTATCCATGCTAATACTTTACCCTTAACGCCATGCATCCTTATCTTATGCAGCAGCCTCATGTGCGGCTCCTTGTCGAAGGCCTTTTGGAAATCTAGGTACACCATATCCATTGGGTCCCCATTGTCCACCTCGCTCGTAATGTCTACATAGAATTCCAAAAGATTTGTCAAGCATGACCTGCCCTTCATGAACCCATGCTGCGTCGGCCCAACGGGACAATTTCTATCAAGATGCCTCACCATTTCTTCCTTGATAATAGACTCAAGCATCTTCCCCACAACAGAGGTTAAGCTAACCGGTCTATAATTCCCCATCTTTTGTCTACTTCCCTTTTCAAACAGTGGCGTCACGTTTGCTGTTTTCCAATCAGCTGGAACTGCCCCAGAATCCAGCGAATTCTGGAAAATTACCGCCAGTGCACCTGCTATTTCTCCCGCCATCTCTGTTAGTACCCTGGGATGCGTTCCATCAGGGCCAGGAGACTTATCAATCCTTAGCTCCATTAGCTTGCCCAACACTACCTCTTCCGTAGTAATGATTGTTTCCAGGTCCTCACCTACCTTCGTCTCTTTGTCAATTACTGGCATGTTATTAGTGTCCTCCACTGTGAAGACCGATACAAAATACCTGTTCAATGCCTCGGCCATTTCATCATATCCCATAACTAAATTCCCCTTCTCATGCTCTAAAGGGCCAACGTTTACTTTAGCCACTCTTTTTCGTTTTATATATTTATAGAAACTTTTGCTATCTGTCTTTATATTCTGTGTTAGTTTTTTCTCATGTTCTATCTTACTTTTCTTTATAGCTCTTCTTGTGGCTTTCTGTTGACCTTTAAAGTTTTCCCAATCTTCTAGTTTCATGCTGTTTTTGGCCACTTTGTATGCCTTCTCTTTCAATTTGATAGCCTCCCTTATTTCATTAGACACCCGTGGCAGATTACCCCTTTTCTTACAGTCCTTCCTTTTCACTGGAATATACTTTTGGTGAGCATTTTGAAAAACTGCTTTGAAAGTCCTCCACTGCTCGTCAACTGTTCCACCATAAAATCTTTGTTTCCAGTCTACTTTAGCCAAGTCCTCCCTCATTCTATTGTAGTTCCCCTTGTTCAAGCACAGGACCCTGGTATTGGATTTTATCTTCACACTCTCCATCTGTGTTCTAAATTCAACCATACTGTGATCACTCCTTCCAAGAGGATCCCTAACTGAGGTCATTAATTATTCCTGTCTCATTACACAGGACCAGATCTAGGATAGCTTGCTCCCTCGTCGGTTCCATTACATACTGTTCAAGAAAACTATCACGGATACACTCAACGAACTCCTCCTCAAGGCTACCCTGACCGAGCTGGTTCGACCAATCTACATGTAGATTAAAATCCCCCATGATAATTGCCATACCATTTTTACAGGCATTAGTTATTTCTTTGTTTATTGCCCGCCCCAATGTGATGTTATTATTTGGTGGCCTATAGACTACGCCTATCAGTGACTTTTTCCTCTTAGAATTTCTAATTTCCACCCAAATGGATTCAACCTCATTCTCCATAGAACCTATATCATCTCTCAGCACTGCCCTGATGTCGTCCTTGAATATCGGAGCTACACCACCTCCCTTACCTTCCTGTCTGTCCTTCCGAATAGTCTGGTATCCTTGGATATTTAACTCCCAGTCGTGACCATCCTGTAACCATGTCTCCGTAATGGCTACCAAATCACATTCATTCGCGATGATTTGTGCCGTTAACTCATCAACCTTGTTACGAATGCTACGAGCATTCAGGTAAAGTGCCTTTATGCTAGCTTTCTTACCCTCATGATTTCCAACATCTCTAATAATATCTCCTGAGTTATCCTTCCTTTTTGCTTCTTTCATAGTCTGCCTTGAACTTAAACCCCCCTGCACGCATGCTAACCTGCTGCTTACCTTTTTATTTACCATCAATACTCCCTGTCGTTTTCCCTTTCCCTTTCCCCCCAACTCACTAGTTTAAAGTTCTAGTGACCACCCTATTTATCCTTTTCGCAAGAACACTGGTTCCAGATCGGTTCAGGTGGAGACCATCCCATCGGTACAGATCCCTCTGGTTCCAAAACTGATGCCAATGCCCCATGAAATGGAACCTCTCTTTCCCACACCACTCCCTTAGCCATGTGTTTACTTTCCTGATTTTCCTTGTCCCTAAGCCAATTTGCACGTGGCTCGGGCAGTAATCCGGAGATTATGACCTTCGAGGACCTGTTCCTTAATTTTGTTCCTGGTGCTTGATAATCCCCAAATAGGTCCTCCATCCTAGCCTTGCCTATGTTGTTAGTCCCAACGTGGACCACAACAACTGGATCCTCCCCCTCCCGCTCCAATATCCTTTCAAGCCGGTCAGAGATGTCCTGCACCCTGGCACCGGGCAGGCAACACACCATGCGGGACTCCCGATCCGGCTTGCAAAGGATACTATCTATCCCCCTAACTATAGAATCCCCTATAACTACCACTTGTCTTTTTGCTCCCCCCTCTTGAATGGCCTTCTGCACCACGGTGCCGTGGTGAGCTGGCTCATCCTCCCCGCAGGCCTTTTCCTCATCCACACAGGGAGCAAGTATCTCGTACCTCTTGGATAAGGTCAAAAGCTGAGGCTCCTCCACTCCTGAACTCAGGATCCCCCTACCTGCCTCACTTGCAGTTACACCCTGTTGTCCCTGATCACTAACTGAATTTGAATTACTTAATCTACCAGGTGTGACTGCCAAAAACTTTTATGAAAAACTTTTTATCCAGAGTCTCATGATGGTCTGGAATGTGCTGGGAGGGAGGTAGAAGTGAGTTGTCTAACATCCTTCTAAAAAAGTACCTGGATGAGCACTTGGCATGTCATAATATTCAAGGCTATGGGCCAAGTGCTGCTAAATGGGATTAAGTTGAAGGTCAAGTGTTTCTCACGTGTTGGTGAAGACTTGATGAGCCAAAAGGCCCTTTCTGCACTGTATGATTCTATGTTGCTTTGCCTTGAAGATGCTGTTGTTCAGCTAAGACATGATTCCACTGAGCTGGTGCATAGTTTTAATTGAAAGGTCTTATTGGAGTATTAGTCAGAATATGCAGCAGATGATCTCATCGATATACTTGCTTCATCCACCTTGCAGTCTGTGCCACAGTGTTGCATACGAAATGACAACTTCATGGATCCCAATGAAAGTCACAGAACATCAAAACAGCACCACATTAATTGTGAATATGCAAGTCATGGAATCATAGATTCCCTACAGTGTATTAAAGATAAGTGAATAGTAATGTAGGAATGCAATGTTTTCTTCCCACAGAAATTAGGAGACGTTTTGAACTTGAGTTTAAACACATCCAGCCCCTAATGAGTTAAGTGTATTTAGTAAAAACAGAAAATTCTGGAGAAATCTGGCAGCATCTATGGAGAAATGAACTGAGTTAACATTTTTGTGTCTAATATAACTCTTCCATAGTCTTCTAAGAGTTAAATGTCTCCTGTCTGACTTAGGCAGTTTGCATCTCCATTTGAGAAAGAATGGGACACATCACATATTTATATGTTCACGTATTTACCTGATATGCAACAGAAATTGCAACATCACTTGGGCTTAAGAATGAAAAATCATTTGTTGTTGGAGCCCATTATGCTTCTAAATCTGTCCAGGAAATGTTTGATCTGGACACTCCTCACTAATCACGTACTGTTTCTCTTTCAGTGTGAAAATGAAACATCGGTCTTCATGGCCACCGTCGAGTTCATGGAGAATCATGGCAGAAACATCTTGTTGTCCAACAGTGGCCACACTGCCACCCGAGTGGCCAGCTACAACCAAGGCGTGGTGGCATCTGCTCAGCCATTACCCCGGCAACTGCTGTTTCAGGTAATCGGGGTACGAGAAATTCAGCTGGATATCAGTGAGCACAATGAGCTATGCCTGGTCTGTCAGATCTGGATAACAATTTCTGTTGACATTTCATAGAGCCTGGCAGGTATTTTTTTGTTCTTTGTTCTTTATTCTTTCAGGGAATGCACATTTGCCAGCATTTATTGCCCATCCCTAATTTCCTTTGAACTGATTAGCTAGCTAGGCCATATCAGAGGATACTTAAGTGCCAACCACAATGCTATGGGTCCAGCGTCATATGTAGGCCAGAGCTGGTAAGAACGGCAGATTTCCTTCCCTAAAGGAGCCAAATAAGATTTTATGACCATCAACGATAGTTTAATGGGCAGCATTATTAGTTTTCAAATCCAGATGTATAGATTAAATATAATTTCCACCAGTTACTATGGTCAGATTTGAACCTGAGATCTTGAGTTTTGTCCTCTGGATTATTGGTGTAGTAAGATATTCACTGCACCACCTGCCAAATGCCCAAGATCAAAACCAAGGATATGCTAATACATAAATTAAAGGGTAATTGGGTGATTGTGTGCCTGAATTACATGTATAAATAGAGGGGCTCTTGTGATGCAGTGATAGGCTTACTGGCCTAGAGGGAGGCACAGTAAGTTCAAGTACCATCTGCCCTGGTAACATGTCATATCATGTCCACACAAATTGATTAAAAATAACTATACTGTACTCATGCATTTTTTTTTTAATCTATTCGTGGATGTGAGCGTGGCTGACTGGATCAGCGTTTATTGCCTGCTTGTAGTAATCCATGAGAAGGTGGGTTAGGGTGAGCTGCCTTCTTGAATCACTGCAATCCATGTGCTGTTAGGGAGGGACTTCCAAGATTTTGACCCAGCAACACTGAAGGAATGGTGATACATTTTCAAGTCAGGATGGTGTAGGTAGTTTGCAGGTAGTGGAGTTCCCATGTATCCTGCCCCTGTCCTTCTAAATGTTAGTGGTTGTGGGTTTGGAAGGTGCTGTCTAAGGATCTTTAGTGAATTTCTGCAGTACATTTTATAGATGGTACACACTGAGTGTGGAGGGAGTGAATGTTTGTGGATATGGTGTCAATCAAGCGGGCTGCATTGTCCTGGATGATGTCAAGCTTCAGTGCTGATGGAGCTGCATTCATCCAGGTAAATGGGGGAGTTTTCCATCACTTTCCTGACTTGACCCTTGTAGATGTTGGGCAGGCTTTGGGGAGTCAGGAAGTGACCTACTCACTACAGAATTCCTAACTTCTGACATGCTCTTGTAGCCACAGTACCTATGTGGCCAGTCCAGTTCAGTTTCTGGCCAATTGTATATTGATAGTAGGGGATGCAGTGATGGTCATGCCATTGATTGTCAAGGAGTGATTGTTACATTCTGGCAATCGGGTCTATATGTTACTTGTCACTTGTCAGCGCAAACCTGGATGTTGTCCAGACCTTCCTGCATGAACTGCTTCGGTATCTAAGGATGGTGCTAAACATTTTTTAGTCATCAGCGAGCATCCCTGACCTTATGATTGAGGGAAGGTGATTAATGAAGCAGCTGAAACTGGTTGGACCTAGGACACTCCGCTGAGGAACTCCTGTAGACATGACCTGGAGCTGAGATAACTGAAAACAATATAAATATAATATGTATAGAGGGAATAAGTAATCAGTGATGTTGGCATCTTTGATATGTGAATAAAGCTCTGAGTAGAAAACTATATACCTGGACTCTGTCTAACCAGCATTTAACCTCTAGTATTTAACACTTCCTGCCCAGATGTATAACCAATCTGCTGTAAAACTGATGTACCTCGGTTAATTTCTTCTGTTTTTGATAAGCTTTTGGTCCATGGCAAATGTCCTGAATGAATGTTAAGATTGTTCTCCCCTGTTCTGGATTCCCCTACTTAAAGAAAACGGATGAGGCATGTAGAAAACCATTAATCAATAATTTTTTAATGTATTTCTACTCAGATACAGATTGATCGTTTAAACCCACAGTGGACATCTTCACTCTCACTGGGTGTGATTGGAAACTCCCCTGAGCGGTTTAATTTCCCAGGCACTGCTTCGTCGATCAAACGCTCTGCATGGCTGATCCAGCGAGATTCTGTTTTTCACAATTCATTAAAGGTGAGAATCCTGAACAGTGTTCTCCTTATGGAGCCTTCCGTGGGCAAACTCACCTCAAGAGCTCTCTGTTGACCTGAATCTCACTGGCCCCAGAAGCACTCAGCATGAGTATTCGATCAGCCCTATTATTGCCAGGTCTGAATATGTGACATTCAACAGCAGTTTTTATTGTTCTTAAACAATTCTGTTGAACAACATACAGAGCAGTGCTTAGAGGTGTGCGTTTAGAGAAAGTGCACAAAGAACATACCAGGAACTGAGAGTGAAGGTAGTTTAAATTCTGAACAGCAATCTGCTTTCTTTCAAATAAAAGAGCAAATATTTTGTAATAGTTGCTACATCGTTATCCTAACACTCCACCCAGTCCACTTTCACTTGCTTTCCACCCACTTCCCATTTTCTACCCCATCACTCCCAAAAATCACCCCAAGAAGGCCCTTGCCTCATTCCCCTACCTGCATTCATCCCAGAGCACCTCACCCTTGCTTGCGTCCACTCGCACATTCCTTCATCCACATTCTCCACTCTGCCTGGGTTCCTTCGCTTCCCCATTTCCCCTCACCCACAACCTGCCACTACTTCCTTCCTGGTTCCATCTAGACTCACTTCTTCCCCATACCCTTGATCTCTACCATTTTCCTCAGATTCCTCACTAGTTCCATCCCGGTACCCTCAACCTGATTGCCACCATTCCCAGCACCTTGACCCTATCTCAGTCTCGGCCTTATCCCCTTGATTCCTGACCACATTGTTGCAGAAATTGACATCACCCAGCTGCGTCTCTCTAATTAAAAGGCAGAATCTGAAAGCGAATAGTTTTGACCGATTCTTGTTTTTATGTCTGCCTAATTCACATGAGACATACATTGCAGTCCTATTTAAAAACAACATCACTGCATACATGTTTCCTTACGTTAGGCAGGAAAACCTTTTTTGATTTTTAGGTGTTTCACAAACTGGCTGCCACACAAGATAAACATGGTACTCAAGGGACTTCACCACCTACCTCCTCATAGATGGTGCATCGTTCTTCCTGACCTGAGGGGTGTAGCAGAGGAAATTGAATTGTGAGTGTGCTATTTTGCCAGCCCAGCACGTTCCTCTTCAAACCGTAGAGACATAAATCACTTAAAAATAGCTATGCAGGTTAATATTGCCAATTAAAAGAAAAACAAGCATAGCTCTGGAACTTCTTTCTAGAGGCATAGACCCGAAGAATTAGAGAGAATAGATGGATCCAAAATAGGTGCTAACAGAAGCTTTTATTTTTATTATTTGATGTGATGTGAAAGTTGCTGGCTAAACCATTCCCATTTGCCCTGGAGAAGGTGGTGGTGAGCTGCGGTTTTGAACCCATGTGATGCAGGGAGTCCCACAGTGCTGTTAGGAAAGGAGTTCTAGGTTTTTGTGCCAGCAACAGTGAGGAAACAGTGATATATTTTTAAGTCAGGATTGTGTGCTGCCCAGAGGAGAATTTGCAGGTGCTGGAGATCCTGTGTGTCTGCTGCTCCAACATGGTAGAGGTCATGGATTATTAAAGGAGCCTTGACAAGTTGCTGCGGCGCATCTTATCGATGGTACACGCAGGGCGTCAGTAGTGGAGGAGATGAATGTTGAAAGTGGTGGTTGGATGCTAATCATTTCTATGCGGCGAGTTATTGGGACTTGGAATGCGCTAAGTGAATGGGCAGCACGAGCAGAAAGAATGTTGATCAGTGTCTGAGAGAGACACTGTTTTGTGCAGGTTGGTGATGCCAGTCAACTGTTGACCAATGTAGTCAATTAAATAAAAAATATCAGAATATCCATTTTTATTTCTCTTCTGGTTTGTTTCTTTGGTCAGATTTGTGACAATTATGGTCCCAACTTGGATACATGCCCAGAGGGAACCATTCTTGGACTCCTGGTAGACAATGCACACAGTCTTCACCTGTTTGTTAATGGAATGGACCAAGGTGTGGCTGCCCAAGACATTCCCAATCCGTGTTTTGTTGTGATTGACCTGTATGGCCAGTGCGAGCAGGTGAGTGGCTCCTCTGGGGGCAGTGTTGGATGTTGCAGAGAGGGTTGAAATCCATTTAAATGTACTATATTCAATCTCAGTGGATCAACCTGACCCTGATCACTCCTAGTACATAAATGTCAATGGAATATTAAAACCTATTACATTCAATCTCAATGACTGAATGCCAATCTATTTACTTCAATTGCAGACGCCCAGTTTAGGTTCTGCAGGGGCATTCCTTTCCTGACCTCATTACAGCCTTGTTTCAAGCAGGACAAAAGAGCTGAATTGCGGAGGTGAGGTGAGGTGAGAGTGACGGCCCTTGACATCAATACCAGAGTGTGGCATCAAGGTACCCTAGCGAACCTGGAGTCAGTGAGAATCAGAGGAAAAATTCTCCGTTGGCTGGAGTCATACCTAGCACCAAGGATGATGATTGTGGTTGATGGAGGTCAGCCATCAGAGTTCCAGGATACCTCTGTTGGAGTTTCTCAGGGTAGGGTCCTTGACCCAGACATCTTCAGTTGCTTCATAAATGACCTTCCCTCCATCATAAGGTTAGAAATAGGGACGTTTGCTGATAATAGCACAATGTTCATTACCATTCACAGCTCCTCAGATACTGAAGCAACCCATGTCCAAATGCAGCAAGACCTGGACAATATGCAGGCTTGGGCTGAAAACTGGCAAATGACATTCGTGTCATACAAATGTCAAGAAATGCTCATCTCCGGTGAGAGACGGCCCCATGATATACATTGAATCATACAGTGCAGAAGGAGCCCTTTGGCCCATTGCATCTGTACTAAGAAAAGAACTATTCTAAATCTATACTCTGCCCTCTGTCCAGCAGTTTTAAGTTCTCATCCAAATACTTTTTAAAGCTTGTACGGTCTCCTGCCTCAACTACCCTCCCAGGCAGTGCATTCCAGATTCCCACCACCCTCAAATCCACTCTTAAACCTCCTGCCTTTCACCTTAAAATTATGCCTCCTTGATATTTGACTCCTTCACCTTGGGGCACAGCAGCCTTCTATCCACTATATCCATGCCCCTCATAGTCCTATACTCATCAATCAAGACCCCTTTCCACCTTCTCTGCTCCAAAAAAAAAACCTGAGATTGTCCAGTCTCTCTTCACAGCTAAGTTGCACCATCCCAAGCAATATCATTGGTGAATCTCCCATGCATCTTCTCCAGCGGTGATCAGAACTGTTCATAGTACTCCAGCTGTGGCCTAACTAAAGTTTGGCACAGCTCCAACATGACCTCCCAGCTCCTATAAATCTTATAATATATGTCATGACTAATAAAGGCAAGCGTCCTGTACGATAGTAAGAACTGCAGATGCTGGAATTAGAGACAAGACAGTGTGGAGCTGGAGGAACACAGCAGGCCAGGCAGCATCAGAGGAGCAGGAAAGTTGACATTTCGGGCCGGGACCCTTCAGAAAAAAGCGTCCTGTATGCCTTCTTAAATACCTGTCAACCTTTCTGTTGCCTTCAGGGGCTTGAGGACAAGCACCTCAAGATCCCTCTGTTCCTCTCAACTTCCTGGTGTCCTGCCATCCATTTAGTAATCCCTTGTTACTTGTTCCAAAGTGCATCACTTCACACTTACCTAGGTTAAATTCCATCTTCCACTGATCTGCCCAACCAAGCAATATCCTCCTGTAATCTAAGACTTTGTTCCTCACTATGAACTACTCGGTCAATCCTTGTGTCGTCCGCAAACTTAGCATACCCTACATTTTCTTCTATACCTTTTATATAAACTGCAAACAGTAAAGGACCTGTCATTGATCCCTTGGTACTCCACTTCACACCGGGCTCCAGTCACACAAACAACCTTACCCTATGTCACCCACCACAAAAGCTAATTTTGGATCCAACTTGTCAAGTTACCCTGGATCCCATGTGCTTTTACCTTCTTTATCAGTCTCCCATGTGGGCCCTTGTCAGAGGCTTTGCTGAAATCCATATGAACTACATCAACTCCATTACCCTTGTCTTCACACCTGGTCATTCTCAAATTTCAGTTAATCTGTTAGGCATGCACTCACTCTGACCAAGTCATGTTCTCTCTTATCAAATTTTGCCTCTCCAAGTGGAGATTAATTCTGTGCTTCAGAATTTTCTCTAATAGTTCCCCACCACTGATATAAGACTCACTGGTTTATTTCTACTGCCCTTCTTGAAAAGTGGAATTGCATTAGTTGCCCTCCAGTCTGCTGGCACCTTCCCTTGTGGCCAGGAAAAATTTAAAAACTTGGGTCACAGGTGGCATGGTGGCTCAGTGGTTAGCACTGTACCAGGGACTATCTCACATGCAACTGTTCAGGAGGGAAAAACATCGAGAGAACTGTGAGACAGAGTAGCAGGGAGAAATGTACTGCAGCTCCCAAACCCAGCTTCAAAACCCCATCAACTGCTACTGAAAAACTAAAACTAAACGTCCTGGCTCTGGAAGAGCTTGACCCCACGCTTTCAGGCTGCTTCTATTGTTTCAACTTTTTTTTTTAGAAGAACACACACCCCCAAGGCCCCACAAGCTGTTTAGTTTATTGGATTGGAATAGACAGCTCTGCACCTCTGTCTTCAAAAAAAAAAGAACAAAATATACTTCTTAAAGCCATAGTGTCTTTCCACCGCAGCACCCAGTTCTTCTGAAGCCATAATTTTCCAGTCCTTAAGGCAATAAACAACTCTTATTTCCTTGGAAGCTTTGCTTGACTGTTTCTCCTAAGTCTCCTGATTTCTTGTAAACAGTGAGTAATCCATAGCACTCATTAAGTTGTTGCCTTAATTTCCAAAAAATCATCTTTTCAATGCAGAGCATGTCCAGATAGTTAAAAATCTTCAAGATAACTCTTAAAGATAGATACGTTGTTCCAAAAAAGCAGGAAAAGTTTCTGACCATGTTCAAAATCCTTAAAATTCAACCAGTTTGCACCTTGGCCTTGTATATTCCAGGCATTATAAACCCAGTTTACATAATCTCCTCTCGTAATCTTCATTCTGAGACCTGGTAACATTCCAGTGACTCTCTGCACACCTTTCGAGATTACTTGGCAACACACCTGAGAGTGGACCCAGAACTGTATTGCAGATGTTGCTTGATCAGTGCTTTCTACAATTATTGTGAAACTCCCTCCTTTTCAAATTCAAGACCTCTCACTGTACAAACTAAAATTCCATTTTGATTATGTTTGTGCATATATAATAACATATAATGATCGGTGCACCCCTTAATCCCTTTGGAACACAGGCCCCCCGAACTGAGTACAATTCTGAAGAATGTTTATAGAGCGCAGGGACCTCCAGGGTACAAATGTATGAATTATTAAGGTGCCAGCTAGGTTGAGAAAGAAGTGAATTGTGTTAACTGGGAAAGGCAGGGTTGTGAGAATGACTTAGCAGCTGTAACTGAGACATGGCAGGCTCGGAATACTGCAGCAAGTAACTCACTTCCTGACTCCTCAAAGCCTATCCGCTACCTACAAGGTACAAGTCAGGAGTGTGATGGAATACTCCCCACTTGCCTGGATGAGTGCAGTCCCAACAACACTCGAGAAGCTTGACACCATCCAGGACAAAGCAGCCCCCGCTTGATTGGGACCACATGCACAAGCATCCACTCCCTCCACCACCAAAGATCAGGAGCAGCAGTGTGTACTATCTACACGATGCACTGCAAAAATTCACCAAAGATCCTCAGACAGCACCTTCCAAACCCACGACCACTTCCATCTGGAAGGACAAGATCAACAAGCATATGGGAATGCCACCACCTCCATGTTGCCCTTCAAGCCACTCATCATCCTGACTTGGAAATATATCACTGTTCCTTCACTGATGCTAAGTCAAAATCCTGGAATTCCCTCCCTAATGGCATTGTGGGTCAACCCACAGCAGATGGACTGCAGCAGTTCAAGAAGGCAGCTCACCACCACCTTCTCAAGGGCAATTAGGGATGGGCAAGAAATCCTCGCCAACCAGCGATGCCCACGTCCCACAAATGAATAGAAAAGAAAAGAATGGCCTTCTCTGTACTGTTTTACACTTCAGTGCAAAGAAACTGTCTTGCACATCTGCAGAGGTAATCCAATTACCATAGTTTTGTGTATTCAGTTGGTCTGTCAATGTCTTTTCGCAATTTTTTTCCATACCTAGATTACTGATTACCATCAATCTTTGTCGTTAACAAACTTAAAACTTTGATTTTTATTATGTTATCAGGGTTGTTAGTGAGTATATAGAATAGTTGAGGCCCCAACACAAATCTTTATGGGACCTGACTAATCACCAGCTTCTAGTTCAAATGTCTACACGTTATCCCTACTCTCTAACCGATAATCTAACCAGGGCAGCAGTTTGACCTCTGTTCTGTTTCCTTTGACTTTAGCTCTAAGTCTTTCATGTGATCCGTATAAGAATGCTTGTGGATGTCTATCAACCATCCCTTCAGCTGAAGTTGCTTCCTCAGAACTATCAGCTTAGATCATTAGACAAGAACGCAACTTCACAATTATTTTTTAATATTCATTCACGGGACCTGGATATCACTGCCAAGGCAAGCATTTATTGACTTTGACTAATTGCCCAGAGGGCAGTTTAAAGTGTCACTCACATTGCTGTGGGTCTGGAGTCACATGTAGGCCAGCCCAGGTAAGGACAGCAGTTTCTTTCCCTAAAGGACATTAGTGAACCAGATGGGTATTTCTGACAATTGACAATGGATTCATGGTCACCATTATTTCCAGATCTTTTTTTTATTGTATTCAAATTTCACCATCAAGGATAATGGACAAAGCATTACCCAGGGTCTCTGGATTAATAGTCTATTGATAATATCACTAGCCACTAGCTATCCTTATTCTGCAATTTCCTCACTTAACTTTCTTTTACTACCCCTGCGTCATAACTTGATTTGATAGGCTGAATGGCCTCTAACTGAGCTGTACCTATTCTCTGATTCGATCACTTGTGGTTTCAATTGGTGTTTTTGACAGTGGGTCTGAACAAAAGTTCCACTGCTGTCCTGGCCTTCCCAGTCTGGATACCTCAAGATTAATGCATCTTCATGTCTGACAGGTTACCATAGTGACCAATGACGTCATGGCTATAGGAGGTGATAGTGGCCATTTACGCTGCCAAGGCGATGTGGAAAAAGCTGATGTCGTCGATGGTAAGTGAATGCAGTCCGAACGTACTTAATCTCAGATGATCTTTCAGTGTCGATGGCAAGTAAGGATACTTTAAGCATCGCAAGACTTCCATTTAAGCCTAAACTGGCTGTGCAAGCAGTTATTTTTCCACTAGTAATCACTGCCAGTGATAGTGAAGGTTTATAATATATTGTCTTTGGGAATTTGAATTTAAAATTGAGCTAAATAGATTTAGTTTTCAGTTCTGTGAGGTTAATTTCTTTTTCCAAAGCCATTTCTTAACGGATAAGAAGATTCTGGGCACCACGGTGGCTCAGTGGTTAGCTCTGCTGCCTCACAGCGCCAGGGACCCAGCTTCAATTCCACCCTCGAGCGACTGTCTGTGTGGAGATTGCACATTCTCCCCGTGTCTGTTCTGTGTGTGTTCCTCCGGGTGCTCCAGTTTCCTCCCAGTCCAAAGATGTGCAGGTTAGATGGATTGGTCATGCTAAATTGTCCATCATGTCCAGGGATAGGATAGGTGGGGTGGGTCTGGGTGGGCTGTTCTTCAGAAGGTCAGTGTGGATTCAATGAGCTGAATGGCCTGCTTTCACACTATAAGGATTCTATTAAAAAAAACCTCTAAAAATTCTATTAGGCGAGTTCAAACATCATTTTCAAGAAAGCATTTCATTTGAGCTGACTGACTTGATTAACTGCCTGGGGAGTTAATTGAGGAAATGTTTATAAAGCTGGACCTTTTTGACATTGAGAAAGTTGCTGCAATCAGGTTTCAGTTGAGGAGAACAGTTTCATGCCAGCAGAAGGGCAGTTTCGCTTGTTACAGTTTCAGAGCTGGCAAGAAGTCTCAAAACTATTTTAGCACTTTAAATCGATAGGACTTTTCCTAAAGTTCAGTTAGGAAAAGTCAATAAAGAAGCCAGGGAGAAACAGTAATGGAGAGAATTGCGTTGGGCCAATGTACAAAGTCACTGAATCAAGACTTTGCAACCTTATCAATTTGTAAGAAACAAAATAGTTAAGATAGGAGTGATACTTTGCAGGGTTTGAGTGTCTATAAAGGATATTACAGGGAAATGGGTTAAATTTGTCTTTGGACTCAATCCTAATATCTTTCTAAATTGT